CTGGCCTGCGTTAGCCATGTTCTGTGAGAAAGCGTTTTATTGGTCCAGAAGACAGTGTACCATCCACCTCATCCCAAGAACTGAAAGGGCCATCAATTGGCCATTCAGTTATACATGTTTAATCAACTGATGCACAAACGGCCAACCACCACCATTCTCAAGTGGCCATCACCCTAAAAATACTATTTGATTCCCAAGGAACATAACAGCGGGAAGTCAATTTTTCCCCAGAAGGAGGTTCTCATGATCACGAACTGTGTGCGTTGGTAATTGGACATAAGCTGGCAAAGACTGTGGGCTTGATAGTGGGGCTAAATTCTGGTTATGCCAGGCTGGGCCTTGCCTAGAGTTCCTGCGGAGGGTGATGTTGTCTCAGTGAGCTTGATAGTGGGGTTGTAATTTGGTTATGCCAAGCAGGGCCCTGCCTAGACTTCCCAAGAGAGGAACGTTGTCTCCGTTTCCACCCTTAGAATAGTGGGAACTTTGGGGAGCCCCATGCAATGGATTAGAGTTCCTGCGGGGGGTGATGTTATCTCGGTTCCCACCCTTTGAGTAGCAGAAACTCAAGGAAGGCTCATGCAAAAGATTACTGTGACACCATATTTATAGATGAAGATTTTTATAAAATTCTACCAAAAACCTACAATTGTTGCTCTCCATTAACACTGACCTACGTTATCCATGATCTGTGAGAAAGCGTTTTATTGGTCCAGAAGACAGTGTACCATCCACCTCATCCCAAGAACTAAAAAGGGCCATCAATTAGCCATTCAGTTATACATGTTTAATCAACTGATACACAAACGGCCAACCACCACCATTCTCAAGTGGCCATCACCCTAAAAATACTATTTGATTCCCAAGGAACATAACAGCTGGAAGTCAATTTTTCCCCAAAAGGAGGTTCTCATGATCACGAACTGTGTGCGTTGGTAATTGGACATAAGCTGGCAAAGACTGTGGGATTGGTAGTGGGGCAAAATTCTGGTTATGCCAGGCTGGGCCTTGCCTAGAGTTCCTGCGGGGGGTGATGTTGTCTCAGTGAGCTTGATAGTGGGGTTGTAATTTGATTATGTCAAGCAGGGCCCTGCCTAGAGTTCCCAAGAGAGGAACGTTGTCTCCGTTTCCACCCTTAGACTAGTGGGAACTCTGGGGAGCCTCATGCAATGGATTAGAGTTCCTGCGGGGGGTGATGTTGCCTCAGTGAGCTTGATAGTGGGGTTGTAATTTGGTTATGCCCTAGTTCCCAAGAGAGGAACGTTGTCTCCGTTTCCACCCTTAGAATAGTGGGAACTCTGGGGAGCCCCATGCAAAGAATTAGAGTTCCTGCGGGGGTTGATGTTGTCTTGGTTCCCACCCTTTGAGTAGCAGAATCCTGGAGGAGCCCCATGCAAAAGATTACTGTGACACCGTATTTATAGATGAAGATTTTTAAAGAATACTACCACAGACCTACAATTGTTGCTCTCCATTAACACTGACCTGCCTTATCCATGATCTGTGAGAAAGTGTTTTATTGGTCCAGAAGACAGTGTACCATCCACCTCATCCCAAGCACCGAAATGGCCATCAATTAGCCATTCAGTTATACGTGTTTAATCAACTGATGCACAAATGGCTAACCACCACCATTCTCAAGTGGCCATCACCCTAAAAATACTATTTGACTCCCAAGGAACATAACAGCGGGAAGTAAATTTTTCCCCAGAAGGAGGTTCTCATGATCACGAACTGTGTGCGTTGGCAATTGGACATAAGCTGGCAAAGACTGTGGGCTTGATAGTGGGGATAAATTCTGGTTATGCCAGGTTGGGCCTAGCCTAGAGTTTCTGCGGGGGGGTGATGTTGCCTCAGTGAGCTTGATAGTGGGGTTGTAATTTGGTTATGCCCTAGTTCCCAAGAGAGGAACGTTGTCTCCGTTTCCACCCTTAGAATAGAGGGAACTCTGGGGAGCCCCATGCAAAGGATTAGAGCTCCTGCGGGGGGTGATGTTGTCTCAATTCCCACCCTTTGAGTAGCAGAAACCTGGAGGAGCCCCATGCAAAAGATTACTGTGACACCATATTTATAGATGAAGATTTTTATAGAATACTACCACAGACCTACAATTGTTGCTCTCCATTAACACTGACCTGCCTTATCCATGATCTGTGAGAAAGTGTTTTATTGGTCCAGAAGACAGTGTACCATCCACCTCATCCCAAGCACCGAAAGGGCCATCAATTAGCCATTCAGTTATACATGTTTAATCAACTGATGCACAAACGGCCAACCACCACCATTCTCAAGTGGCCATCACCCTAAAAATACTATTTGATTCCCAAGGAACATAACAGCTGGAAGTCAATTTTGTCCCCAGGAGGTTCTCATGATCACGAACTGTGTGCGTTGGCAATTGAACATAAGCTGACAAAGACTGTGGGCTTGATAGTGGGGCTAAATTCTGGTTATACCAGGCTGGGCCTTGCGTAGAGTTCCTGCGGGGGGTGATGTTGTCTCAGTGAGCTTGATAGTGGGGTTGTAGTTTGGTTATGCCCTACTTCCCAAGAGAGGAACGCTGTCTCTGTTTCCACCCTTAGAATAGTGGGAACTCTGGGGAGCCCCGTGCAAAGGATTAGAGTTCCTGCGGGGGGTGATGTTGTCTCGGTTCCCACCCTTTGAGTAGCAGAAACCTGGAGGAGCCCCATGCAAAAGATTACTGTGACACCATATTTATAGATGAAGATTTTTATAAAATTCTACCATAAACCTACAATTGTTGCTCTCCATTAACACTGACCTACGTTATCCATGATCTGTGAGAAAGCGTTTTATTGGTCCAGAAGACAGTGAACCATCCACCTCATCCCAAGAACTAAAAAGGGCCATCAATTAGCCATTCAGTTATACATGTTTAATCAACTGATGCACAAACGGCCAACCACCACCATTCTCAAGTGGCCATCACCCTAAAAATACTATTTGATTCCCAAGGAACATAACAGCGGGAAGTCAATTTTTCCCCAGAAGGAGGTTCTCATGATCACGAACTGTGTGCGTTGGCAATTGGACATTCTGGTTATGCCAGGCTGGGCCTTGCCTAGAGTTTCTGCGGGGGGTGATGTTGCCTCAGTGAGCTTGATAGTGGGGTTGTAATTTGGTTATGCCCTAGTTCCCAAGAGAGGAACGTTGTCTCCGTTTCCACCCTTAGAATAGTGGGAACTCTGGGTTATGAGCCCCGTTGTCAACCCTTAGAATAGTAACTCTGAGTTCCCCATGCAACAGATTAGAGTTCTTGGGGGGGTGATGTTGTCTCGGTTCCCACCCTTCGAGTAGCAGAAACCTGGAGGAGCCCCATGCAAAAGATTACTGTGACACCATATTTATAGATGAAGATTTTTATAGAATACTACTACAGACCTACAATTGTTGCTCTCCATTAACACTGACCTGCCTTATCCATGATCTGTGAGAAAGTGTTTTATTGGTCCAGAAGACAGTGTACCATCCACCTCATCCCAAGCACCGAAAGGGCCATCAATTAGCCATTCAATTCCACATGTTTAATCAACTGACGCACAAACGTCCAATCCCCACCATCCTCAAGTAACGCCATCATCCACCATCCTCAAGTAGCCATCATCATAAAAATACTATTTGATTCCCAAGGAACATAACAGCGGGAAGTCGAATTTTTTCCCCAGAAGGAGGTTCTCATGATCACGAACTGTGTGTTGCGTTGGCAATTGGACATTCTGGTTATGCCATGGCTGTGAGAAAGTGTTTTATTGCCAGAAGACAGTTGTTCCACCTCATCCCAAGCGGGGGGTGATTGCCTCAGTGACTTGATATTGTAATTTGGTTATGCCCAAGTTCCAACCAGGAACGTTGTCTCCCACCCTTGGAGATTCCCAAGGAACATAGCCCCATGCAGAAGGAGGTTCTCATGATCACCTGTGTGGGTGATGGAGCCACCCTTGGAGTAGCAGAAACCTGGAGGAGCCCCATGCAAAAGATTACTGTGACACCATATTTATAGATGAAGATTTTTATAGAATACTACCACAGACCTACAATTGTTGCTCTCCATTAACACTGACCTGCCTTATCCATGATCTGTGAGAAAGTGTTTTATTGGTCCAGAAGACAGTGTACCATCCACCTCATCCCAAGCACCGAAAGGGCCATCAATTAGCCATTCAATTACACATGTTTAATCAACTGACGCACAAACGTCCAACCACCGCCATCCTCAAGTAGCCATCATCATAAAAATACTATTTGATTCCTTAGGAAAATAACAGCGGGCGTCGTGGATGTGCCGTTTTAATTGATAACAGCCAGGGTAACGAGCGAGCTAATGCTTGTTATTTGGTAGCGAATTGACGCTAATAGCTTTCAATCTACGTTAATAATTTCAGTCAGTTTGTGTGTTTAACCTGCATGGCTGCATTAAGTGGATATAAATTGGGCCTTGAGCTGTTTATGACAGCCAGCTTTTAGAGTCGCTTCCAGGGTGTAATGTAAAGGGTGGTATATCCAGGGTAGTTCATTCAGACATCACAGATGCTAAAATACATATTAGTATTTATTTAATAGCATATATAGAGTTACATGTCATATCCTTTCGGAATAACTGCCTTCCGCTGAGAAAGAGAAATGACCTTTTAGCTACGTGGATACATAGATAGATCAAATTAAGACATATGTCCATCAAGCTTTAAAGGGACAGATAAAGTATTTATATATATAAATTATATATTAGGTCATTAATCATTCTTATAGGATTTTAGTGTTTTTTTTTTAAAGCTTGTTCATTCATGTTTTTTATTATTGTATTAAATATAGAGATTTGCAAATTATCCTCTAGCGGGGGGGGGGGGGGGGGGTCTCAGTGGTTCAATGCAATTACTTTTTGTCTTTTAATAACTGTTAAGATAACATTCACAAAGGGAACAACATTGTTTGACTGTCACCATGTACAATACATATATATATCTACAAACCAGGGGCGGACTGACCATTTGGAAACTCAGGCACTGCCCGGGGGCCCGGGGTCAGTAGGGGGCCCCATGAGATGCCCCTGGTACCTTTTTCATAGGCATTTTTGAGTTTGGGCAAGGACACAGGGGCCCCATGATCCCCTATTGCCCGGGGCCCCATGAGTTGTCAGCCCGCCCCTGCTACAAACTATACAAAGAAACAAAATATTGTATCTAAAGCACTAACTAGTGAACTCCAGACAGATAAGAGACACAAATGAATGCAGCTGTGTGATCTTTAACAACTTGCCTACCGGGCACTTTCACCCCCTTCCTGCCCAGACCGATTTTCAGCTTTCAGTGCTGTTGCACTTTGAATGACAATTGAGAGGTCATGCAACACTGTACCCAAACGAAATAAATTCATGTTTTTGCTAAACAAACTAAAAAAGTCCAAAAAGTTTGAAAACATTTTTTCTTTCCCCTTTCTGTTATAAAATTTTGCAAATAGGTAATTTTTCTTCTTCAATGATGTGCGCTGATGAGGCTGCACTGATGGTCACTGATATGCAGCACTGATGGGCACTGATAGGCTGCACTGGTGGGCACTGATAGGCTGCACTGGTGGGCACTGACGAAGAGGCACTGATGAGGCTGCACTGAAGGTTACTGATAGGCGGCACTGACTGGCAGCACTGACTGGCAGAACTAATAGACACTGGCTGGTGGCACTGATGGACACTGGCTGAAGCACCGTTGGACACTGACTGGCAGCACTGTTGGGCATTGACTGGCAGAACTAATAGACACTGGCTGGCGGCACTGATGGACACTGACTGGAGCACTGATGGGCACTGATAGGCTGCACTGATGAGCACTGATATGCAGCACTAGTAGGCACTGACAAGGAGGCACTGATGAGGCTGCACTGATATGCAGCACTGATAGGCGGCCGGCACTGAAGGTTACTGATAGGCAGCACTGACTGGCAGCACTGATGGGCATTGAGTTACAGCACTAATAGACCTTGGCTGGTGGCACTGATGGACACTGACTGGAGCACTGATGGACACTGGCAGCACTGATGGATACTGACAGTCAGCTCTGATGGACACTGTTGGGGCTGCACTGATGTCCCCTTTCACAGTTGCCAGTTACCGGCTTTCCTCTCCTCACGCTGTGACCATGATTAGGATGTTTACATCATAATCAGCTGTGCCATTGGACACAGCTGATCACATGGTAAAGGGACGCTGTGATTGGTCCTTTACCGTGATCTGTGATAAGCTGTTTCCGATGGACACAGCATTCACAGAGTGAGCCTGGTGCGCCCCCCAGGGGCTACATAGGAGGTGCGGTTTTGGGAGGATGTCATATGACGCCCTCCCAGAGCTAGACGACCACGCTGTAGCTGTCATTCGGCTATAGCCCGGTCCTCAAGTGGTTAATACATCACTAGATTTACTTTTAAATGCAAGCCATGTAGGTGCCTGAATGTGACCTGGCATCAGCCTCTTGCAGTCCCTGCACAGCAGGGCCAGAGTGTGAGAGGAAGAAGCAGCACAAGGAGCCAATCAGTTCATGTGCTGACAAAAAGAGAGCAGAGTGACAGAGAGATGAGCTCATCACTGCTCTGCTTCTCCTTTCATTGGAGGAGGGTCTGGGACAACCTAGGCTCAGGGGAAATGGGATGAATGATGTTGGCATTCAGAATGACATCTAGTGTCAGAAAAGAAGTACTACAAGGGAGAGTGCTAGATTAATAGTGGATATTTTCAGATTCCCCACCCCACCCCACCACCTCTATAGACATATTCCTAACCAACCATGTTCCCATGCCAGCTTCCCACACTGCAGGTGCCCTCAGTAATAGAGATGGGGGTTTTCCGTATGGGGAAGGCCTGAGCAGCCAATCAACAGGCCCAAACACTGGCACCTGCTGGAGGGGGCAGGATGTTATCCCTATGTGTATGCTCTTGCACCAATCAACACTGGAGCTTAGACCAGGATCAGGCAGCAGGGAAGGAGCATGGCTGGATGCTGGGGGATATGGGAACTGTGCAGACACTGGACTCAATAAACTATCGATAGCGCAAAGTGAGAAACAACAGGAAAATTTGATTTTAAATTGTTGCAAAAAAGTTGCAAATTGCAACAAATTTTGAGGGCAATAAAAAGTTGCTATGTTAATGTTGCACTGATGACAGTGTTTTGGGTCTACTGTCTCTTCAAAGCACAGCTCCATCCTCCCACCAAGTGTACCTAATCCATACCACACCCATACTGCAATCTATACTGCACTTATTTAAAACATAGACTGTACTTATCCCAATTCTACACCACATCATACCAAACCTTTACCACAGCTGAACCACATCTGCCTTGCACATTTACTCAGGCCATACCGTACCTATACTGTACGTATACTACATGCAGGTTAACTGGGATTGTCGTTAAGTGCAAAGACGCTCAGAAAGGGCCCCAACAATAGCCGGCAGAAGAGCATCTCAAAGGACTGTTAATTATTCAAAAAGCGCCCTTTATTCCTTTGCCCCCTCTGCTACTGTCCCCCTTTTCTTTTGAATAGTGCATACCCATTCGGGTATTC